GGTTGGGTCTGAGAGGCTGTGGGACTCGCAGGTGTCAGAGATTTGTCCTGACTGCGGGCCAGGCAGGAAAACTCAAGCTACATCCCCAGGAATCCACAAAGATGACTCCACTATAGATTACTGGCAATGGTCAAGAGGGTGCCTGAGCTGACCTACCCTGGTGATCGGATGGCTGAACACCCTAACTGTCATGATACAACCCTCATCCAGTGACTGATGGAAGCAGATGCAGAGATCCGCGGAGCTCCAGGAGTCCAATTGACGAGAGAGAGGAGGGATCATATGGGCAAGAGATATCGAGACCATGATTGGAAAATGTACAGAGACAACTAGCCAAACTAGTGGAAACACATGAACTGTGAACCCATAGCTGAGGAACCCCCATGGAACTGGACTAGGCCCTCTGGATAAGTAAGACAGTTGTTTAGCTTGAACTGTTTAGGAGGCCCCCAGTCAGTGAGACCAGGACCTGTCCTTAGTGCATGAGCCGGCTTTTTGGAACCTAGTGCCTATGCTGAGACACTTTGCTCAGCCTTGGTGCAGGGAGGATGGGACTAGACCTGTCTCAACTGAATATACCAGGCTCTACTGACTCCCCAGGGGAGATCTTGCCTTTGAGGAGGTGGGAATGGGGAGTGGGTTGGGGAGGGAAGGCTGGAGGGTGGGAGGAGGGAGGACAGAGGAATCCGTGGTTGACATATAAAATGAATAGAAAATCTCTTAATAAAAAGAAAAAAAAAAGACATTTGTCTACACACACACACACACACACACACACACACACACACACACACACACACACACTCCCCACAAGAAAAGAGAATGCCAGGCCCAGTGGTAGTGGTAATGCACACCTTTAATCCCTGCACTCAGGAGGCAGAGGTGGGCAGATCTCTATGAGCTCGAGGACAGTCTGGTCTACAGAGTGAGTTCCAGGACAGCCAGGGAGGGCTACACAAAGAAACCCTGTCTTGAAAAACCAAAATAGATAGATAGATAGATAGATAGATAGATAGATAGATAGATAGATAGATAGATATAGGAAGAAAGAAAGAAAGAAAGAAAGAAAGAAAGAAAGAAAGAAAGAAAGAAAGAAAGAAAGAAAGAAGAAAGAAAATAAAAGAGAAAGTCAACAGGAAAGCCCGGAAACATAAGTTAAGAACTATATTTAAAAATCTCATTCAAATATGAAGAGAATGGAAATGGGGCTATTTTGAATAATGGACACAGATTATAAAAAGAAATGTCTTCCAATTTTTTTTGACTATATACTGAAAAGACTCACCACATTCATGAGAAAATCAATTGAAACTGATCATTCAAATGACATAGGATTTTTCTCTTCTAGTAAAAGTACTGTCCTTCCTTCAAAGAAAGGGATAAAATGTATTTGGGTGCCCAGGTAGGAACAAGCCGAGTGGTTAAAGGCTCAGCGTTCTCATCAACACTTCCTGTGGAGGAAGCCATGTCTGTGTCGATTGCTTTTCTCTTGATCTGGCAGAAACAACTTACCAGAGGAGAGGGTTATTCCGGATACTGCTTGAGGAGATACAGACCACAACGGCAGGGAAAGCATGGCCGTGCTGCTCTGTGGCAGGAGTGGGAACTACTGTGTTATACTTTGGTGGGCCAGGAAGCAGAGAGTTCAGCAGAAAGCCGGTTGGCCTAGCATCCTCAAGTCCTGCCCCTGTAGACACACATGAGCTAGCCAGACCCTCTGCCCAGTAGGTTTCATAGCCTCCCCAAATGAGGTCACCAACTGGGACCAAGCAACTGGATCCAAACACATGAGCTGTCTGGGACATTTCAAATCCAAACCATACTACCTAAGATTCTTGAAAGAAAATGTAAACTGAGAATATTAGATAGTGAAACTGACTTTCAAGCACACCCCCCTTCGCCCCCCGCTGCCCCACACGCATACCCCAAAAGAAACAAACAAACAAACAAAAAACCAAAGGCTATCAGTATACAAGAACTCAAAATACTGTTCCCATGAGCTGTTCTTAAGTGTTAACAGAAAAAAGATTGAGGCGATCACAGTGGCCAGACAGAAGCCGCAACATAATGACTTAATTTACCTGTAAGTGTGGGTTGACAGGAGGAGGACAGAGCAAGAACAGCTATACATCCTGACAATGTGAGTACCACACACTGAGGACGGTGCAAAAACAGTGTAGAAGCCTTTTGGTAACTACAGTCATGGTGGTAGCACTGCTAGTATTATTAAATTATCATACACATCAGCAATTTGGCAAAGGCAAATAAGTAGTTATGCGATATTGTAATTCTATCATCCTGTGTGTCCTTGAGAAGGAAGAGTCTAAGTGTGCACAAAAGGGAGATACAGATGTTAGATAAGATTAAGCAAAACATATACTGCTCAATTTGACCTGCACGTACCAATATGAATTCAGAAGACACCTTAAAGAAAAGATCTCTCAAAGGCAGGAGGATCTGTGAGTTCAAGTCCAGCCTGGTCCACATATCAAGTTCCAGACTAACGAGGGCTACACAGAGAAACCCCATCTCAAAAAAACAGAAAAGAAAGGTCTGTCCCTATCTTTTCTGCTTTCCTTCTTCCCTCTCTCCTACTACCATCCCCTCGTTCTCTATCTTTTATAGCTATCTATATCCATCCACCCATCCATCCATCCACCCACCCACCCACCAACCTAATTTGCTTGTTCTGCTCACTGAAAATTGGGATATGATGAAAGAACACTCAGTATTTGGTAAGATTATGCTCTTGAAATACATTTTTATCCAATATTCAAGTCTAGGCAAAAATATTCCAAACAGCTCGAATCATCCATTATGCCAAATCTGAAGGAAGTTGCCAAAGCCCATAGGAATATGCCAGAAGGACTCAGGAGCCACTCTAAGGAGCCTGTGGTTCAAAACAGTACATTTTTGTGACTCACACCTATAATCCAGGCACTTGGGAGGCAGAGGCAGAAGTATTAACAAAAGTTTAAAGCCAGCCTGGGTGATAGTGAGCATCAGGACAGCAGAGATGGAGCAAGACCCAGTCTCAAAACAAACACACATGTACACAAATTCTCCTCTCCCAAAAAGAGACATTTTAAGCATTAATGAAAGTGATATCTGCAATGTACTAAAGTGAAGCAAATTGTTTCTATCTCTGTATTAACAATGATTTAAAATTACAAACAATTCAGTAGTTTGAAGGCTGGAGACTAGAGGGAATAACACAGCTACCCTGCACTTCCTACATGAAATGTAGGTCTCTGCAACCCAATGGGCATGTGACTAGGAGTTTCCAGTTGGACAAACACCTAGATAGGAAGCAAAGAATGAAAGAATCCAAGTATTACAATTTGGCAACAATTGATGAATGAATGGTCGAGGTGTTAAGCATTAATAATTGTTGTAATGTTTAATCCTGGTTGTCAGCTTATCTGGATCTGGAATCAACTAGAAGATAAGCCACTGGGCACATCTATAATGTTCTTGCTTGGGTTATTTGAAGTGGGAAGATCCATGCTAAATGTGGGTGGCACCTCCCAGTGGCGCCCCTGATGAAAAGGGCTAAGAGGAAGCTTTGCCTATCTGCTTGCCTTCACTCTAGTTAAGTGCATCTACCCTGATGCTGCTGCATCATCCTTCACTGATACCAGGTCCCAGCTTGATCAGGCTTCCACTGTGGACTGAAGACCAGTGGGGTCTCCAAGAATCTTTCAGGCCTTCAGTGACAGGTTGGTACTACTAATGCATCAGATTCACAGAATGAACCAAGCTTTCAGCCTCTCCAGTGTGAGACTACCATTGTTGGAATAACCAGACCATAGCATATAAACCAATGTGATAAATCTCCTTTCTATACACACACACACACACACACACACACACACACACACAGAGAGAGAGAGAGAGAGAGAGAGAGAGAGAGAGAGAGAGAGAGAGAGTGTTCTGTTCCTCTAGGGAGACCTGACTAATACAGTTGTCAACGTTCAAGAGAAAGAAAAAAAAAAAAAAAAAGACCAACAAACTGTAAGTTGGTTTTGCCAGAAAGAAAATCCAATAAAACCTAAATCTGACAATTCTTCAGTTAGCTACCACTTTACAGAAAACATGGGAGAGGAATTTTACAAACCACAGGCATTCAATCAGAAAACACAGGCCACAGGAAGCACCAGAAGCCAAAGTGACTTTTATAATAAGTAATTAATTGGGGTTCTTTTATTTACTTCCCCTTTTTTAAAAGGACAGTTTTACTCTGTAGCCCAGATTAGCCTCAACCTTCTGGTTCTCCTGTCTCAATCTCTAAAGTGCTGAGATTTAGGTTATGAGCCACCATGCCTGGCTTTTATTTTTTTTTTATGTGATTTATTAGTTGATAAGCATTTCTGGTCTAAAAAAAAAATCCAAACAAAAACCCTGTCTGCTAATTTGCTAGCACCCAACTAGAACGTGGACCACCCAGGCATGGTCACAGTTCCTTTTGTCTGTGTACTCTCAATACCTGGGAGACAGACTATCTTCCTTTTGAGAGGCAGTTAGTAAAGACAACCCAAATAAATGAATTAAGATGATTTATTAAACCATTTTCACTTAGTAACATGAGGAAGAAATTCGGGTGCCAGAAGAGTGAAAAGGTCACTTCTTAAAAAGCCTCCTTTTAGTTGAACTTTGGTGGCTCTGATCTAAGGGAACCCTATTCCTACTGTGACCTGCCAAAAATTCTGTCCTAGTGAGGAATCTTAAATCCCTAATTGCTTTTTATTTATAAAGAGAAATACCAACAATCGATGCCTGCATTAATATTACTTCTTAAATCCAGGATTATAATCATCAAATCCAACTTATCAAACCTGGCATTAAGACACCACATACAAAAGCCAGTGGACTAAAGGAATACCCATTCTTGCAGGAATGAGTACAGCTGGGCTCCCATTTCCTCTCCAACAAAAGCGCCCACAAAAGTCTGCATCGCAGGACATCACCAAAGCCAAAGGTTCTGAAACAGCCTGACTCACCCAAAACAACTCTCAAGTCCTCGCCATCCAGCTTCAGTACCCAGGTGTTGGTGGTCTTTGATCTGTTCTCCAGGTACTTCTTGAGGCTTTTCCCATCGATTTCCAGAGTGTACTCATACGCAAAGCCACTGACAGCATCTATGTTTATGGTGGCTTTGGTCTTTGCAGCTCCAACATAGAAGGTTTCTTTCCCCACCAATTTGAACATCCACTCTTTTCTTATCTCTTCCTAGATGATTATATAAGAGTTTAATAAACACAAACAGAAAAATTAGTAGTTAATTTTAAAATAGTGTAAAAATTCAGACTGTCCAAATGGCAGTACTATTTATATTTTTATTATTTCATGTCAAGGTTCCACAAAGTAATCATTCTAAGTTTAATGTTAGATGTTATAGTCTGCATATTCTGTAATGACCATTAGATTGCTCTATATAAGTGAAAAACAACCAGTCAGAAAACAAAACACAACAAAACAAAAACTTTACTTGTTAAAAGCTACACTGACAAAACCCAGCTTCACTGTCATGTTTTACAAAGGCACACATGTTTCCCTACCTTCCCATCCACGTATACAACTCGTTTTCCTGATGTGGTCCCATGTTCAAATTCAATCTTGTGGATTCCATCACTTAATGCAACATCCCAAACAGCTACAAGATCTGTCATTTTTTCCAGGCTATAAAGAGGGCTAAAGGAATAAAACAAAGCCATTAGAATGGGCCAAAACAGTAAGAGAATGACTAATTAATTCTTCCACCATGAAAATACCAGATTTTCAAAGGTCCTAAAATTATAAAATAATTAAGTGATATTTCTTGATGTCCTACTCACAGCACATACAACTGTTTTCTCTCTCACACGGGCTCTTCCCTCAAGAGACAACTATGCACAGGTATAGTCTAATAATCCCAAAGTCACCTCAATACTAATAAGATTAAGACTGTAACAGTTAATCTCCGACAGCACTCTGGGCTAGGCTGCTCCAGTACATGGGAAGGTCAGTAAAAGTCTCTACTTTATGACCATCTCCACAAAAAAAGTTCAGAGATTAGGGGTTTTTCCTTTTTTAGATCAAATCAATCCCAAACAAGAATTCTTTCAGAACCAGTGCCCAGGGATTTGTTTTAACAACAACAAAAGAAAAAAAAAAAAAAAAAGGTGTTCCGATGTGTTATTCAAAAACTATCATGGAAGAATTTGATACTGATACAGATTATAAACTGTGAGAAGTAACATGTACTGCATATGAGGGTCACAGCTGACTGCAACTAGCCAGTCACTAAATCACAGACGCCTCTCTGGGAGATGGATGCTGTCAGCCCCTTACTTTGTAGAGGAAGTACGGAGCCACTAAGGTTCTAGCCACGGTCACAATGATAACAAGTGGCAGGAGGAGCAGGCTTTAACCAAGGACTCTGAATCCAACACTGTTCTCCCTGTATTTCCTTCTCCGCTCATTTTAATCTCTTACTTTGCATGCTGTCAATCATTTTCAAGCAGTTGTCAAGACTTCTATGCTGAGAATCGGTGGAAGATTATGCCACATTTACGGCGGCCACATCCACGCAGGTAATTCACTACCCTCCTCCCAGTCAGAGAGCAGAGCCTGCATTCTGCAATGGCACAGGCTGCGTCTCCAACAGACACAGAACTCTCCTATGGACCTATCCTAGCAATCCCGGAATCTTCAAAACAAGACATTTACCTTTCATCGTCTTCAAAGATAGGACTGTCATCTCCAGATGCCATGGTTAGCAACAGTCTGCAATCCAATTAGCAGCCAGGAAAGAGAAAAGCAGAAATGCAGCAGAGAGAGGTTGGAAGCAACAAAGACAGCTACAAAGGGTTTTTTAAACTTTGCAATCCTTTTATAAGTTGCCTGCACGTTCCGATGAAGCTGCATTTATGCACAGTAGAGGGGCAGTCTTTTGTTTTCAGAGAGTTTGAGCACACAGATCAGCCACTTTTCTCTGTTAAGTGTTAATAATTTCTTAAAAATAGTTTGTGAAAACAGGGGAATAGACTCTAGTTTATCTTGAATATTACATCATATTAGAGCAGCAGGAGCCCGAGGCACCCTCCTACTCCCAGGTGTCTCAGCCTGGAGCACAGGGAGCCCCGTGGGTCTGAGGGAGTGCTTCAGGGAACACGTCAAACATTAAGATAAACAGCCTTACCCAGTGGACATGTAAAACTCCAAAGCGGTGGCACCGATACTCAGGGTGCGATTTAAAATCCAATCTTTACATCTCCAAAGAAAGTGTGAATTTGTGAGAAGTAGCTAGGGATATGCTGGCCTGTTGTGTGGGAGCAAAGTTTATCCACTTATTTACGGAAGCCAGTAAGTCCACAGTTACAGGTTCAGTTCGCCAGCAGAGTCTCAGCTAGAAGCAGAGACCAGTGCCAGGTAACGAGGGCACTGCTGTAGTCAGTTAAATTTCACAAGCCGGAAGTGCGCCTACGCTCACATGCGCAGCAGACACAGCAGGGAGAAGGCTGCGGTGCTAAAGAACTACTCGGAAGCAACATATGCTGACATGCACAGGAGACGCATCTGAGAAAGCTATGGTGAACAGCCCACTCCCCCAAAGCTGTCATAACTTTGGCTGTGGTTTGCTCCCAAGGCCTACTCCAGTTCTAACACTCTCCCCAATGAATGCCTCCCCTCCCCTAGCCCCGGATGTCCAAAGGTGCTCTCCCTTTGCTGACAATGGGAGACTGTCAACCCCTTCTGCTGGTAAAAGTCAGGAGCCACAAACTGTTTTTCAAAGATGTCAGAGAAGAAAGGTTTCTATGCATAGTGATGGGATACACCCAGTGGTGTAGGATAACTGCTGGAGGCATTCTCTGTAAATCAGAGAGAAGGAAGGGATGCCACTAAAATTTTGCTATACAACTTTTAGAGTGTTCTAGGAAGTTCACCCCTCAAACCTGAAAGTGTTGACGTATTTTGGATTATAAAGAACTCCAAATATTACTAAGATGCACTAAATAAAGCATGGGGGCTAGAGAGATGGCTCACTGGTTAGGAAGATGTACTGCTCTTTCAGAAAACACTAGTTCTGTTCCTACCACCCAGGTCAGGCAGCTCACGACCACCTGTAATTCCAGCACTAGGAGGGTCTGATTCCTTCTTCAAGACCCCGAGTGCACTCTCAAATGCATGCACATACCCTCCACATACATACACACAGAATTTAAAAGTAAGTTTTTTTTAAAAGATGATACATGGGATCACCCCAGTTATAACACCCTTTCCAATTCAAGTATAAAAGACACTGGCTGACTAGGTGTGGTGGCACACACCTTTGATCCTAGTATTTGGGAGCAGAGTCAGAGTCAGGCAGATCTCTGTGACTTTGAGGCCAGCCTGGTCTACAAAGTGAGTTCCAGGACAGCCAGGGCTATGTAGAGAGATCCTGTCTAAAAAAAAACCAAATAAATAAATAAATAAAAGACACAGTTAAAAACCAAGATTATGAAGGGCTGGGGGGTAAGCTGGGGGGAGTGGAAGGAGGGATGGGGGGGATCTGTGGTTGGTATGTGGAATGAATAAAAAATTTCTTAATTAAAAAACAAATCAAGATTACATTTTATCTTTAAAAACCATTCTAAACTATCAACAGACATTCATACATGTAACAATTATTGACAGATGTTTAGAAATGAGTGATTTTAGGTCTGCCAGTGGGGCACACGTCTTTAATACCAGCACTCAGGAGGGAGGGGCAGGTGGATCTCGGTGAGTTTGAGGCCAACCTGGTCTACAAAGTGAGTTCTAGGACAGCCAAGGCTACATAGATAAAACTGTCTGGAAAACACACACACACACACACACACACACACACACACACACACACACACACACACACCACACAAAGAATCTGTGATTTTTTCACCCTCTAATAATTTAGAGTGCACAACTTAGGAGAAAATTATATAAAATGGTCAGAATAAGCAACTACCTGACAAATTCTATTTATATTTGTGTATACCAAATTGGCAGAACATAGATTCACAAATCAATACAAAACTAATTTCTATGTGTTTTTTTTCTATAGATATAGTCAAATAAGCAAAAGGCTGCCTTAATGCAAGTTAGCAGCATTTCAGTTTTCCATACTGTCCACTGTTTTTAAGCAAACAAACTTAAAACTTTTTTTGTTTTTATTATTTTTAAATGTGTGTGTGTGTGTGTGTGTGTGTGTGTGTGTGTGTATGTGTGTGTGTGCATGCACATGAGTGTGTGAGTACAGGTGCCCATGGAGGCCAGAGGAGAACAGCAGATCTCCTGGACCTGGAGGTACAGGTGGTCCTGTGCCTCTGGAACTCTGGTCTCCGGCAATAGCAGGAGGCCCTCCTAACCACTGTCTTTTCTCCACCCTCACCCACCCCCCGAAGACTTAAGACTCCTTTTTAAAAAACTGTAGAACCTTTTAATAGCATTTGTGGCTTCTGAAAGGTTTTGAAGCATCAAATTCTGTGACATTTTCAAGGAGAGAGAAACTTAAAAGTGCCTTCTATGAAAGGATTAGACCTTGTCACAACCCAGTCATACAATTTCTGAAAGAAAAGTCACAACAAAATACAGTGAGCTCACCTCGTCTAGACTCTTTCGCTCATTGAGGGGAAACCAAAGTAATAAGACACCTCTTTAAGAGACACCCCCACCACTATTCCTAGGTTCTTACCATCTGTTCAACTTTCCAACAAGGCCACAGAGGACACTGGGTGTAAGAACATTTTTCCACAAGATCCCATCTAGAAATGCAATCCTCATCAACAAATCTCATATTAACATTTAAGAACACATTCAAAACAACTCTGCAAAGGTCCTGCCTTTGGGTTTCCACTAGACTTGTGACCTGTGATCTTACACATTTCATTTCAAGTTCAGCACTTTAAAAGTTCACTGGAGTAGTAACTGATGGAAACAGATGCAGAGATCCATAGCCAAGCACCAGGCCCAGCTCTGGGAGTCCAGTGCAAGAGATGGAAGAGGGAGTCTATGAGCAAGGGGGGTGGGGGTGGGGTTAAGATCATGATGGAAGAATCTACAGAGACAACTGAACCAAGTTCATGGGAACTCACCAACTTTAGACTGACAGCTGTGGAACCTGCATGGGACTGGACTAGACCCTTTGCATACAGGAGACAGTTGTGTAGCTTGGTCTGTTTGAGGGGCCCCTGGCAGTGTGATCAGGATCTACCCTGGTGCATGAGCTGGCTTTCTGGATCCCATTACCTATGGTCCTACCTTTGCTCATCCTTGGGGGGGAGGGGCGGCTTGGTCCAGCCTCAACTAAATGTACCAGGCTTTGCTCTCCCTGATGGGAGGACTTACCCTTTTGGAGGAGGGGATGGGGGGAAGGACAGGAAAGGGGGAGCGGAAGGAGGGATGAGAAGGGGATCTGTGATTGATATGTAAAATGAATAAAAAAAATTTAAAGTTCACTGGAGTTGCTCTATTGGCCCAACAGTTGTTTTTGTTTGTTTGTTTTTCTTAAATCACTCTGGCTGTGGTCAATATAATTCACATTAAACCTTTCCATTCCCACTTTGTCCCATGCCTGCATTCTGACCTAAAGTCAGACCCTACTGCTACCACTCTGTCCTGTGCCACATCCCGACCTACACGGGTCTGCTTTTAGCATGAAACATTACAAAGCAGCCAACAATCCCCAAATGACTAACGACCTGCTAAGTACTCAGACTCCGTGGAGATGATTTTACTAGAAACTGTATTTCCAAATATCCATTCAGTGTTTTAGAAAGGGTACTAATTTAATTATGATGACTTCACCAGGCAGTAACTAACACCGCCCACAATGATATCTACACGAGCATTAGTTACAAAGCAGAGGATTTTCATACTCTTGTGTTTACACACTGTTACAGGTGACAGATTAAATGCCACATGAGATCAGTTAAACAGCAAAACAACTCACGTTGCCTGTCCCACCACCTTCCACCTTGAGTAAAGTGTGATTTCGCTGGGTTTCATTGAACCAATTCATTCCATACCTGAGTAAGGTTTCCAAGTCAGCCTTTGCAAGAGAAACTACAGAATTCTAGGAAGAGGTTTACAGAATCCCACTCGGGCCGCTGGAAAATAACAGGCTCCTGTATTAAGCAACTCGAGTTGAGCGTATTGCAATACTAGAGCAGATCAGAAATAATGTACCTCCAATGCCAACCTGCACGAAGGAACTAGACAGAGCCAGTAAGGATGCTGCAGCGGGCTGCTCCCAAGAGCTCCGGTCCATTGAGTACCTACAGCAGGGTTAGCTCAGCCTCCCGCAACCCCCGGGAGGTGTGTGTGCTCAGTTCACATCTCTCCTGGGTATTTCGGCCAAGGCCGCGCAGGATGCGTCTGCTGCTGCACCCGGACTCTGACCGGTCCGAAGCCGGAGGACCTCGAATTGTGCCGCGAACGATGCGCCGAGGCACCCGAGGGTCGAGGGTCGGCAGCTGCGAGGCGTCCGCACTGACCGGCCCGGCTGCCTCGCACCCGAGGCCTCCTGCCCTGAGCCCACTGTGGCTCGTTGTCTGCCGCCAGAGGCCTGGGCGCCGCGCACCTCGGAGCCCGCGCGGCCGAGCCGAGCAGGAAGCGCCCTCCCGAGCCGCCAGCGCCGCCTTCCGCGCTCACCTGCCCGGCGCACGGCCACCGGCTCCCGATTCCGGCGTGCAGTCTGCAGCTAGCTTCCACCGCCGCGCCCGCCCGGTTCCCGCACCCACATGCCGGGATCTCACCCTCCTACTGCCTTCCGGGCTCAGCGAGACACCCGCCCACTGCCCAACTGAGCCTGCGCATGTGCGACCCCCCCCCCCCAAGGCCCCACCCACCCGCCGCGCAAGAGCCAATTCCGGGTGTCCGCCTCCCGAGGCCCCGCCTATCCTCCGAGAAGGAGCCAATCCCGCTGCTGCTGTGCAACCCGCTGTACGCCCTGCGGCGCCGCTGCTGCCCCGAGGCCCAGCGGGTGGTAGCCTCTTAGAGTACTGCGGTGATAGCAGCCCTCTACTTGTAGCCTCAGGGATAACCGAACCCGCACCTCCTGGTTCCGCAGCTCCTCTGCTGACACCCTTTGTTCTCACCGCCCAGCTGGCCTTCCATTCCCTGCAATACGAACGATCATTTTAGGTGGAAGAGTCCAGCCTCTGGAACACTTAGGTGTTCTGCACCACCGCAGATGACGTTTGGTTGCCAAACCTTACACTTAGCCCAGAGATTTTTGCTTGCCTCATCTCCCTGTTGTAGGGACATGACATAGTCTTTCCTTTAGTGAGACGCTTGAATTTCATTTCCTGACCGCCAAACCTTGGGGGCTGGGGCTAGAGCTCAATGATAGGGCACTTAGCTATCGTGGGTGCGGTCCTGGGTTGTCTGTGTAACTCTGGCTGTCCTAGAACCTACTCTATAGACCAGGCTGGCCTCGAACTTAGAGAGATCCGCCTGCCTCTACCTCTCCAGTGCTGAGATTAAAGGCGTGCGCCACCACCGCCTGACTACTTATTTATTTATTATTTTTTTAAAGATATATATAATACGTGTACACACACACAGCCACTGTATTATCTCGAATGCAACCCAATGCTATTGTAAAAGCTCAGGCAAACAATTGAGTAGTCTCAGAATCTACAAATAAATCTCATAAAGTAAAGGGAACAAATCAATTCAGAGATTAAAAAAAAAAAAGCCGGGCAGGATGGCACACCAGAGCTTTTTACCAGGCTATCCTGAGCTTTATAACTAAACTTTGCTTCAGAAATTAAAGTAATACAACTTAAGTGAAGCCGAAGTTTTAGGCAGGATATGCACAACATTAAAGAACATTAGTCTACCTAATATTTTGAAAATTCTACTTGCCATGGCAATATATTTTTTAAGAAAAGAATACAAATGGGAGAGGACTGGACAAAACAGATGGCAGACACATTGTACCTCTTACATAAAAGAGTTTCTGTGAATATGTTTTTAAAACACCAAATGGTGTTTTTAAATTTTTGGTGAAATGTACAAATAAGATATTAAGATGGCTCAGTGGTTAAGAGCACTGGCTGCTCTTCCAGAGCTACCCACATGGCAGCTCACAACTGTCTGCAACTCCAGTTCCACGGGATCCCACACCCTCACACCAATGCACATAAAATAAATTTAAATAAATTATTTAAAAATAAAAAGAAGCCAGGAAATATAAATGGTAAATTTAAAAAGAGCTTACTTGTTTTGATCCCCAGCACTGAAAAAACGTTCAATCTTATCACAGACTCAACCAATTGCAAGTCAAAAATATTTTGTAAAGTCTGAGCAGTTGCTAGCATATGTGAAGTCCTCAATCTAATTCTCAACACTACAAAACACACACAAAGACTCGAATATGCATAAATATATACATATATTTTAGTTGCACTGAATATATGCAGATTCATTTTTCCTGTCTTCCTAGTCCATAAATAGAATATGACTATATAGCAATTATATTAGATATTATAATCTAGCAGTGATTAATTATATGGGATTGGGCATATAGGCTCTGTGTAAATACAGGGACATTATATAGTGTTCTTGGATTTTTTTTAAGTGCTGGGGATTAAACCCAAGGCATCACACATGCTAGGCATATGTGCTACCTACCACTGAGTTAAACCTTCAGTCCTCATCCTTAGATTCCAGTACCTACTGGGAATTGCCGGAACTGATTCTCCACAGACACCAAGGGATGGTGTCTGGTTGTATATAAGCTGAGTGGCTTAAACAAGAGGAATGCATTCCCTCACAGTGTGGGATGCTACAAGTCCCAAATCAGGGTGCTGGCAGAGTAGGTTGTTCTGGCTGAGACAGAAGCCCTTCCTGATGGTTTTCCGTCTTCGCCATCCTTGGTTTATAAAGGCATCATCCTCGTCTCTGCCTTCATCTGTGTACAAGCGTGCGCATGTGTGAGTGTGTGTGTGTGTGTGTGTGTGTGTGTGTGTGTGTGTGTGTGTGTGAATGCATGTGTGCATGCGCACATGTGTGTCTCACACATACATGTGGGCCATTTTCTTTCTTTATAACATGAAAGTTGAGTAGAATTAGAGACCATTTAGAACAGTTCGAGTCTTCATTTTAACTTTGTAAAAACACCCCAGCAACAAATCCATTCATATTCCGAGGTTCTGCAAATTAGCACTTCAGCTTGTGAATTTGGAGGTGGGGCGGGGGTGTAATTTAAGCCAAAGCATACAGACATGAAGGGAATCTGAAGGCAGAGGCAGAGTTGGGAGCAATACAGTCACATGTCGAAGAACACCGAGGACTGTTAGCAGAAACAGGGAAGACTCTGCAGGAAATTCAGAGGGAGCAGGGCTTGCCAGTGCGCTCATGCCAGCCTATCAGTCTCTAGAACTGTGAGAGAATGCTTTGTTCTTCTTCTTCTTCTTCTTCTTCTTCTTCTTCTTCTTCTTCTTCTTCTTCTTCTTCTTCTTCTTTTTCTTCTCCTTTTTTTCCTTCCTCTTGTTTTAAGCCACCACTATGCTTGTGGTGATCTGTTATAGTAGCCAGAGGAAACTAGTCCGGCAGGCACCTTGAACTCACTGGATGCCCGCTGAAGGAATGGCTGCAGCAGCACATACAGCTCCACACCGATGAACAGCTGGAGCTGGGTTGGGAAAGGAAAGTATTCACATCACAAAGAAACCATTTTTCTCGAGAGCCACATAACATCATGTGTTACAGAAACTAATCCTGCTCACGCTGGCCGACTAGAAAGCATACGTGGTACAAAGAAGGCATCCTTCTTGTTAAGACCCGTTTTGTGACTTTTTCCTGGAGAGATGTGAACGAATATCTATTCACTCCAGGTAGTGTACCAAGCATTGGCCAAAGAAACTAGTCCAGCTATGACGAGCTTGGTGGGCAGACTCGTTCATTTTATGGCTTGTGAGGAATTCCACAGAGTCGTCTCCTCTCTCCCAGCAATTGCTTATGTAACTCCAGTGAGGGGCTTCACGAGTCTTAGGTTTCTCTTCTGAGTTCTTCTAACTTCCCTGAGAGTCTCCTGAGCAACCTCCTTTCCTTCGCCGTTCTCTCCACAAGGAATGTTTAAATATGGAGGAGACAATGTCACACTAGGAAAACTGGCCAGACTTCCTGGTGTGTGCCCAAGGCTGTGCCCAGCCATGCAGAGCACAACATGGTGTGAAAACATGCCCAGGGCTGCCAGGGACCTTTTATCCTTCCCATGGGGCCAAGACCACAGCTGCTGCTGCTGCTGTAAGAGATACTCATCTAAGCCTCTTGATTAAAAGCATTTGCTTCCCTCTGCCCTTGGCTCTTCAGGATTCCCTGTGTTTTGTTTATACAGGGAAGCATACAGATTTCAAAGTGTGAAGGCATCCAGATAGCTTTGGTACAGTCTCCCCTAACACTCTTGCTCTTATTCTCTGCCATGCCCACTGGGGTTCTTTAAAACAGTCCAAGTTTCCATTAGTCTTTCCCTTTGGCCCACTCTCACCATCCCCCGCCCTCCGGACCCACACCTTAGGGCAACAGAAAAGCAGCAGTTAGAGCAGAAAAGCTAAAAGGTAAAGAAAACCAAAGTTGTTAAGATGAATAGCTACACAAGAAGCTATGCCACTAAGCGCTGATGGCACAAGACTGTAGCCCAGCATCTGAGAGGCTAAGACAGAGGATGATGAGTTCAAGATCAGTGCTGGTCTCCCTTTCTCAGGACACCTGTCTGGGGTTACGTCCGTCTTAAAATGCAGGTTATTCTCATCTCTGCTCTGCAGCTGAAGGTGATTTTAAACTCCTGGTCCTACTGCCTCTACCTCTGAGTGCTGGGACTGCAAGGGAACACTACCAGACTGGCATCCAACATTCCCAGAGATCCACCTGCCTCTGCCTCCCGAGTGCTGGCATTAAAGGCATGCGGCACTATGCCCACATGGCTTTTCCCTCTTATTTCTACGGGAACCACAGAAAATCACTAATGGTTGTACACTTCTTCAGGGCAGAATCCCAGTGGACAGACACTGCACACAGGTATCAAAGGTTTGCTGGACAAGCATTGAAAAGAAATTATAAAAAAAAATTAAAGATTCAACTGCTAACATCTACTATGAAAGATGTTTTTCCTTTGCATTGGTGTTTTACCTTTATGTATGTCTGTGTGAGGATGTTGGATCCCCTGGAACTGGAGTTACAGACAGTTGTTAGCTGCCATGTGGGTTCTGGGAATTGAATCCAGATCCCCTGGAAGAGCAGCCAAGGCTCTTAACCACTAAGCCATTTCTCCTGCCCCACAAGATTTTTTTGTTTTTTGTTTTTTGTTTTGTTTTTCAAGACAGGGTTTCTCTGTGTAGCTTTGGAGCCTGTCCTGGAACTCACCAGGCTGGCCTTGAACTCACAGAGATCCACTTGCCTCTGCCTCCTGAGTGCTGGGATTAAAAGCAAGTGCTTCCACCTCCTGGTTCACAAGATGTTTTTTGAGATGAGACCCAATTATGGGGCCAAGGCTGGCATCTAACTCCAGAGCCTCCTATTTAGCTTCCTGAGTATAGATAACAAGTCTGCACCACCACAATTGGTTTATAAGATTTTTATTTGAGAATATTTAGACAATAAATTTACTGACAAGGTGTGGTGGCACACACTTACAATAATGCTGGTGCCCAACTGTTATTCCAGCACATGGAAAGCAGAGGCAGGAAGACCTCAAGTTGGAAGCCAAGTCAGCTAGCCTGTGCTACATGACTATACCCTATTTTACAAGGAGGGTGGCTGCTATCGGTATATTGTTTGGCATGAAAGAGAG